CAGCGCTGCCGGGGCTCGCGACTCGTCCTCCCGGCACAGCGCTCCGGACGCATCCCGAGGTCGCCTTCTCACACCAGCCTCGCCTGTGTCCGTTTAAAGCAAATGTGAATGCTTTCATTGAAGCCCGACGGGAGAGGGAAAGTGATGTCTGCTCGCTTTAAGGTGCAATCCCGTTAACTGGGCTTGTAAGCGGTCCAGGGGAAAAGAGGGAGAGGGCGGAAGAAAAGAGCCTTTAGCTGGTCCCCTGGGATTATCCATTCTCCGCTGAGGATGGAAACCCCGGATTATAGCGCTGCAAAGGAAATCGACTGTGCAGCCGGTGTATCTACCATAGAACCAGCGCGAGTCTGTTTTTTAAAGAGAGGTAGAGGCAGGAGTAGGGAATTAAGCGGGAATGTCTGTCCCCCTTTGTTATAAATTTGAACTCTTAAGGAACCCTACCTATTTTATCCAGAGTCACCTAATGTGATGAGTTAATTGGGCCAAAGGTTAATCAGAGCGCCTAATACCCGAGGAAACTGAGACGGCTTGTCATTTCTGCAACTGATGAAGCCATTACTATCGCTTCATTCACTGAAGGATGTCTGTCCACTTGCTAAGTGATTTTTCTGCACTTGGTGGTTTTTGTTGTTTTCATTGCAGAAAAACTCCAATAATAGGAGAAAAGTGTGTCCTTTTTTTTTTTTTTTAATTTAAACGAACTCTGATGTATAGCAGAAAACAAAAGGTGTGGAGTTGCCAGACTGACCTTATGTGACCCTTGTGTGCCTCTGTCACTAGCTTTGGAGCTGTGGCTTTTGAAGCACATTAAACCTCAAGCTGTGGGTTAAATCAATTATCACCCTGGATTTGGAAGCAAAATAAAAGGGACCCTTGGTTAAAACTCCTATATTTAGTGATCATGGTGAATTTTTACACCACAGAAAGATGGCAGAGGCAGAGAAAGATGGTCAGATGGCTTTCTGCTCAACCCAGAGTTCTATCCCAGAAAGGCTTTTTGTCCTGGATCTAAAATTCCAGAAGTAACACTGGAAATAGCTTTTCACCTACTTGCCTCCACAGAACTCTGACTCTGTGGGTTTACAGTTTGACTTTTATTGTCATTCTACTTCTAGATTGGATTTGTAAAAATTTCTGGATGGTCAATTTCTTGTGCACATTTGTTAGCAAAGCATACAGAGGGAGAAGCCCAGACACTGGACCTGGTGAGCAGAAGCAGCAGACCCACACCTGGGGCAGGCAGTTGTATGTGTGTGGTGGGGGGCTGTTGTGTGGGGAGGGTAGGCTAGCTCCTTGTATTTTGCAGGGATCACAGCACGGTGTATTGTCTACACACATTGGGGGCCAGAAACATGCTTCCCTCATGGAGCAGTGAGGGAATAGGACCTAGTGGAAGCCCAGTGAACAAGCCATGTATGGTCTTGTAAATGCAGAGCAGTGGTGACTGGGGTCATTGGATGTATGGGGGCAAATCTAAGAGATGTGGCTGATGAAACTGGCTTTTTTGCCCACTTCAGAGCCACTGAATCAAAATTCTGAGCCCTGCTGCAGTGAAGTCCAACTGATGGGGGCATATCGTCATTCACTCTTGGCAAGGCTCTAAACCAACCTATATTAGAATCTGTTCTGAATGGAAGAGAGTGTAAACACAACCTAATTGAAATAAGAATCTCATGCTTCCTCAAGCCCTCTGGAAAATCAGCAGCTCTGCTAAAAGGGGTTCCTGCCTTTCTCACTTATGTCTTTTTACAGGAAACCTGCCTTCTCGTCTGAGGGATCCTCTCGTAGAAATGTGTGAGTCCTTGGATAAATTTGGCTTGGTGATGGCATTATACTTTCTCCAGAGACTCTGCCACTTCCTCCATGTGCCTTTTCTACTCTGACATAAGTTTTTTAGTGCTAATCCCTGTGAAAAGTCAGAGCGTTTGCCCTTTCTACATTTTCTGCCACTAGGTATCCCCTCCCTTCTTTTGCCCCTTTTAGGTAGAACTCAGGCTGAGGTGACGACAGCTGTGGCTGCACAGGAACTGGTGATTTCAGGAACCATACTGCCGGCAGTGCAGCCTTAACTTCCGTTGAGTTCTTATCTAACTGTGTTGCTATTGGCAGACTTTCCAGAAGCTGCTGGGGGATGTCTGACTAGCTCCCATGGAGCTGCAGTACCTTGCTAAGAAGAGTGGCCAGGCAGACCCATGTGATGCCATGGACTGGAGTTCAAGAGGGTTTCCTGGTGACCAGGCAGATGCAGCAGCTGCCAGAGCTGCTCTCTGTTGCCAGAGACACTGTACATCCACACCAAGAACAGCCGAGATGGAAGGGTCTAAACTTAGTCCTTTCCCAGTTTCCCCCTCCACTTCTCTGCAAGACAGTGCTATTCAGCCAGACTCCTTCCCACCAGGACCTCTTCACTCAGGGAACAACCAAATAACAGCTGAACGGAAAGTCTGCAACTGCTGCAGCCAGGAATTAGAAACTTCTTTTACTTATGTGGATGAGAACGTCAACTTAGAGCAGCGGAGCTGGAGCTCACCTTCAGCAAAAGGGCATACTCACTCTGGGGGCCTGGGCTGGGAAAATCCAAATGAGTGGTCCCAGGAGGCTGCCATATCCTTGATATCTGAAGAGGAAGATGACACAAGTTCGGAAGCCACATCTTCAGGGAAGTCCATAGACTATGGTTTTATCAGCGCCATCTTGTTCTTGGTTACTGGCATCCTACTGGTGATCATCTCTTACATTGTCCCACGGGAGGTGACTGTGGATCCTAACACAGTAGCAGCGCGGGAGATGGAGCGCTTGGAGAAAGAGAGTGCCAGGCTGGGGGCTCACCTGGACCGCTGCGTGATCGCTGGGCTCTGCCTCCTCACGCTGGGAGGAGTTGTCCTGTCCTGCCTGCTGATGATGTCCATGTGGAAGGGGGAGCTCTATCGTCGAAACAGATTTGCCTCTTCCAAAGAGTCCGCAAAACTCTATGGTTCTTTCAATTTCAGGATGAAAACCAACACTAATGACAACACCCTGGAACTGTCCTTGGTGGAGGAAGATGCTCTCACTGTACAGAGTTAATTCTGGCTATGAACGTCTTGAGAGTCTGCCTTGGCATTTTGTATGGAAAAAATATGTTAATTTATTTTAAAAATTCACAGTGAAATTTATTTGCCTGGCAAGAAAAGTTTGTTTCACAGACCTTCAGCCAGTGAGTGTTTTTGTTCTCCCCGTATCTTCTATTTACAAGCCATGTATGATGCATAAGAAACCACAGCCAGCCATATCCATCCTTCTAAAGAGCGGAAGACCAATCTGTGATGGCAATGAGCTTCTACTTCTAGAGGAGAATCTTTCTAATTACCCAGTACATACACAATTTATTTTACATAAATATTGGTTATGATTCTTTGGACACTAGGAAGTCCTACACACAGTAGGAAAAATTGCTAATCTATTTTGTGAAAAATAACTAAGTACGAATCACATAAGGCTTTCATGTAATTCTCAAGGTGCTTACTCATTTTCTTGCTGAATTATTCTTTTTGTAATTTGGCTAAACACTAAAGTATAGAGTCTTGAATTTGGAAATTTTGAAGCTTGAGGATGTTGGTTATTTAAAGAAAAAAAACTGTAAAAAAATGTTACATTTAAAATTATTCCTGTATTTAAAAATGCTAATTAAGTCACTAGGATAAGCTGTCTAATAAAAGAAAATTATATAAATCACTATATTTAATAAGACCAATGTGACTTTCACCCACAGTGTTAGTGCCAGCTATTAGCCAGGGTCACATGCCTCTTTTTTAAATGAAGTAAAATCAGTTGCTGATATAAATTTTATTTTTTTTTGTGGTTTTGCCATTATACTGTTGACCTGTGCTCTTGAAATCTTTGCTAATCCTCACACCAGAGAGGCAAAACATGAGTCTTTTGAAATATGATTTCAGACATCTAAACACCTGAGCAGATCTGAGTCATGATTGGCCCTGGCATACTCCCAGGTGACATTTTGTTGTTGTCGTTTGGGGAACACCTCCAATACAATTGCACAGCTAGACCCTTGGGGACTGTACCTAGCAACTGTGTTACTTGCTCTAAGGCCAAGCAACAAGTATTTGCCTCATAGTGGTAGCAGTCCTTAAGCCCATAGCAAAAAAAGGGGGGGGGAGGGGAGAGAGAAAGAGTAAACACACTGATTCAATGGGAACTGCACTTATAACCAGAACTCACTTCCCACTCACGATGGTCTAGACATCATTCAGTAACTGATCTCTGGCCTTATAATGCTCAAACGCTTGCTCTAAGAGAAGCATGACGGGCAAGGTGGTCACAACTTTGGAAGACACACACCTGGTGTCCACACTGACACATTGCCTCGGTAAGGTGGTGGTTCAGGAAGGCAATGAGAAATGCAGCTTCAGAAATAGCTTGCATTTTGAAACTCTTTCTTGAGGTGTTTCCAGCCGCCTGCTGTAAGAGTTGTTTTAACTTCCATGACTGTGTTACCAAAATCAGTGCTTTATTCTTAAAGAGACCGGAGCTGGGAATTGGTGTGAGAGAGCAGAGGTAGAAGAGTGAGAACGTGATTTATTTGTGGATTGTGAAGACTGATTCTGGTGTCTGAAGTCTGCATTGTGGAAGACTGAACACCTGGATGACTTTGGCTGGCAAAGTGTGTGAATCAGGGTATTTATGTGAATGGCTTTTGTGGGTGTCAAAGATCTCTTTGATGTGCGAGGTATAATTAAGGGTTAAGGTGAAATGCACAAAGGGAAGATTAATGGGTGGTAGAAGGAACCGACAAGTATGTGAAATAATTATTAGGAAAAAATGAGAAAATTATATGGACATTGGAAGAAGCTGGATGTAGTTCAGTCACCTTACCCTACAGAACAGAAATGACTTACTGATTCAGAAAGTATTGAAACAATATAAACCTGATTTCTGTTTGTGATTACTGGTTTTTTGTGGTTTTGAACAAACTTCTTGTTTTATTGTGACTCTCATGTCATGGTTTGTGTTGAGGCTGCCTTATCAGTGGTGTAAGTTTTATCTTCTGAAGGTCTGTAAGTCTACTCTAGCCTGCTGGAGAACCCCCTTTGGATGTTGAGGCAAGAAGGGAATGACCTACTGCTTGGCTTAGTGAGTAGGTCTGTATTGTGGTTTTTAAACTACATTTAAAAAAAAAAAAAAACCTATGCGTTTATTTATAGGAACTGAGCGAGATCAGCTGAGTTTGGTGAAACAGGATTAATTTGCCAAATGACAGACTAAACTGAATGAATATGCTGCTGATTTTCAGTTTATGAAGGAAAAGGAGATTATGAATCAAGGGTCACGAAGTTTTTTCAGTTGATGACAAAGGAAAAAAAGCCAAAGCTTGTTATGTGGCAGCATTTAAAAACCTTGCAGTGCTATCAAATAATGTAGATGTGATCTAAAGGCAACATTTAGAAAAATGTTATTTGGGAAAAGAAATTATTCAGGGGGGAGGGGACAAACCTAAAAGTGAAAATATATTTACTTTTTCCCCAAGAACTGTGTAAATTTTTCCTTAAAACTTAGAATTGAAATTTAGTAAATGCATATTTCAACTTTATTTAAATCTGCTCTATACAGAGCATATCTCTTTTAAGGTCCTACTTAATCCTTAAAGGGCAAACCATTACACCAAAAGGGACCAATTTAGAAAATCATCTGGATGACTCCTTTAGTGTTGTGTTGGCATCATTCAGATACTTGCCTTAATCCTCTTTTCCCTAGGTATTTGGCTAGTGTAGCCCTCGTTCATCCTGTCAATGCCTGAATTCAAGGTGAAGACTACTTGAATTTAAAATGATGGTAACAGCAAAGAAAAGCCATGCACTTTATACCCTGTTGTTTCCAATCCAATGAAGTATTTTTTTGACTCTAGAAGTACTTAAGCAATCCCAGGTGATACATGTTACAGATGTGGGACAGATGACAGGTATGGAATTGGTCTTGGATCTCTCATAGAGATGCGTGACCTTACGTCTATCTCTCCAACATGGTGCTGGTTGTTATCTATGAACATTTTCATTACTAGACCTGAAGAGGTATAACTCTTTTTTTGTCAGAGATCCTAGGTCTTTAGCTTATTTACCTGATTTAAGAATCTAAACTCAGAATCATCTTTCTAATCATAATGAAAGGCAGCTTCTCTGTCAGCAGTGTGGTCCACCATGGTGGGTTCCAGAAAAAAAATTGCCTTTCTCCTTTACTACTAGGATCTACATGTTGCAAGTGAACAGTTTAAGCCCATAATGTTATTAATAGGCCATTTCTTTTTAGGGCACTTTAAACTGTTTGTGGTAGAGTTTACAAACAGTTTTCTTTATAGTGCTTTGTCTCCTTTTCAGCCATTTGGAACTCCTGAATTCAGCAGAACGTATAATGTGATGTACTGGTCCCTAGTACACAGATTGGCTTTTCTCCATGATCCCTAGGATATTGTTACAGTTTAGAAGAGAACAGGACTGCTTGGAGCAAAGTTCTTGAAGGCCATAGGTGCTTTTACCCACATAATTGCCATGGCCCTTCATTCCATACTACACTTGCCTTGATATCACACACCTTGCTGTTCACTTAAAATATCTGAGTTCTGGCCAGGGAGTGTGACTCAAGCCTATAATCCCAGCACCTTGGGAGGAAGAGGTGAGAGGACTGCCTGAGCCCAGGGGTTCAAGACCAGCCTGGGCAACTTGACAAGACCTCGTCTCTACAATAAATCAAAAAATTAGCTGGGCATGGTGTCACTCGCCTGTAGTTCCAGCTATTTGGAAAACTGAGGCGGAACGATTGCCTAAGCCCAGCAGGCTGGAGCTGCGGTGGCGGCCGCGAACGTGCCATTGCACTCCAGCCTGGGTGACAGAGTGAAACTCCAACTCAAAATAAATAAGTAAATAAAATTTGAGTTCATTCCCCTCATGCTTATTTGTTTTTAGGGATATAATTGGACCAGTACTGACACATACCCTTTGAGGTACAACTTCCAGAAAGAGACTGCCCTACCAGATTTATTGGTGCCTTCCCCTTCCCCCCAACGATAAGGTTAAATGAGTGAGTGAGCACCATGCCAAATGGATATCAAGAATTATGGGTCTGAACCCAAGAGGCTCTATTTTTTTTTTCCTTACTTCTTTGAGACATGCAAACATTCCAGGCAGGAGCATTTGAACATTTCACTTCTACCTTCATCTATCCCATATGCAGTGGATGAATCATCTAAAGTTAAAGAAAAAGCTGTCTCTATATAGGTATCTATTAAGAAAAAGTTTTTCCATCCAAAAGTCAAATTCCATTGTAGCAATTAATGCCATTACAAAAATGTGGTCTGACAAAAAAGATTCACGACCTTTGCCAATGTTTCACCTATTGCAGCGAGATTTAGATTCCCCTGCAACAAAGGATTAAGACAGATACTTTCTATTCTCTGTAAGGGATTTAACCTTTCCCAGAATTGGACATAAAGAATGACTATGATAAGAATTATAATGCAGTCTCACTGGCTTTTCCCAGTGTAAAAAAGGTAAGAAAAAATTAACACATTATTGTCTTTCAGCTGATTCTCTGCTAGAACATTTTATGGTTCATAGTTTTCTATAATATCCTCTCCTTCCAACTGTTATAAGTCTTGGGAAATAATTTGCCTGCCTAGTGCATTGACAGTGTAAAAAGTAAAATATTTTAAACACATACAACTGATTTCAAAAATCTGTGACTTAGAAGTAAGAGTGTGTTTGTGGTTTATGTTTGTTAGTATGCAAGTTTATGCATATTCAAGTCTATGTATTAGGAATATATTTTATAGTTCTAGAACTTTAATATCCACAGTGATTGTGAGAATAAAATTCTTATAGGAATTTGGCATGCCTTGATGTTGACATTAAGAACAAGAGAAGTCTTTCACAGGTCATGAATGAAGAATTTGGAACCAACCCCAAAATGAGGTGCCAGAATTATATAAACCTGTTTTGGTTGGTCAGCATCCCACAAATATTTATCAATTTTTTTTAACCTTTCAATTTCAGGCTCAAAAGAATATGGCATATTTAGAATTATTTTACCATGAATTATTATTTTATTTTCAGGGAACTGTGGGCAGCAGATTTCTTTGTTTCAAGTTTTGGTGGCTCTGTGATGTTTCAGGAACAGGCAGCCTTATTTTCCTGAAGCCATCTTCATGCTTTTGACCTAGCCAGACTCTAAACAAATGTCACGTAAGAACATAAAGATGGGTTATTACTTATCATATATTTAGAGTTGCACTTTGTGGTTCTCATTGTGCTTTTAATTTTACTTTTCTTGCCAAACAAAAATAATTTGACATCAATTATGTGCTTTTTGATATTATAAAGGGCAATTATTAAGGTTATGAGTTTTTTCTTAGGGCATTTGATGCCTTATTGTTAATAGCAAATGTGTCATATCATTTAAAAATAAAACTATTTATTAAAATGTTTTGTTGTATTTATTAACTTCTATTTAAACCTGAATTTGTGATACTGATTTGGTCTTTTAAAATGATATTTGAAATTATCTGTCCAAAAAACTAATACTATTATTTGCCCCTAATTTAAGCATATCATTCTTCCTGCTACCATGTCATTAAACAATGTAGACTATGACTTATTTATTTATTTTGCCTTGTATGAAATAGTCCAACTTATTTAGATTTCTCTAAATTATTCCGTATTGAATTTAGA